CCCCAAAACCCCAAAACCCCATCTATCAATATTTGGATTAGGATCTTCAAAAATCATATATAATATAAGTTAATCAATTTAATAGAAATCGTTTCAGCCCCACCATTAAGGTCTTTAAGCTGGAATGCCATTATCGGTCGGCACTAAGAAACTGCCAGGAGCTAAGCCTGAATTAGCAGGCAAGCTGTTACTATTAGACGCACCGTTATTGTACTTTTTTATCAGTAGAGGTGGCTTTTTATGTCTGTTGCTAGGTGTACTCTCGTCCCCTATCGATAATTTAAAAGATTTGTGCTTGGGCATCTTGACTTAGTATAGCATTTCTAATTTTTATCTTAGTCTCTCTCTTTTATCATCTGTATTACTGATCGATCCATCTCGTGATTGATTACTACTGGCAATATTCTTATAGTGTCTGACATTGATCTCTGGAAGTTTTAAGCCAAGTTCGCTTTGATTCTTCATGCTTCTTTCTACTGAAGGAAGTCTATCTCCAGCATTTGCTATCAAGAGAGGACCTCTCTTCTTTGGCTTTCTAGGAACAGACCCACTTCCAAGTATCAATGATGAGGATTACTGGGAGTAGATCTCAGCTGCTAGAACCTGATTATTCTTGGATCTGAGTATTCCTTAGCTTTGATAGTCTTCATAGCCGCCACCTTGATTAAGTTGATATCTATTTTTTACAATTCCTGAGCCAGTCACATCAATAGAGTAAACTGGTTTTATATTTGGCTTTTGTATTCTGTTAGGATTGACATTCTAGTTATTGATTAGCTCTCCTACAGCTTTCAAACTGCTTATGCCTACCTTTTATGGAGTGGAATGATAATTATGTCTCTTCGCAGTTCCTCCCTCAGATAATATGTCACTTGGCTAAACACGAATAACTTATTTATTGTCAAATGAGTCATCGGACTCATGATACTTCAGCTGATTCTGCTTCGCTCTTGATTTGCCATTCATTAGCAGCTACTCGTTCTCACGAATCGTCTCTAAATAATCTTAAGAGTTTTTATCTCTTATACGCTCCAAGGGTCTTTCCTTTTCCTGAGCTAAGACTATCATATCATTCAAGTTTTTCTAAGGTATGCTCTTCAAATTTTCTGAGGCGTTTCTCTTCAAAGATTTTCTTTCTTCAGATAAAGCTGATCTTCTTTCACTTGAATGATCAATCGAGGGTCTATCCAGCATTTCAATCTGATTGCCCTTCCTTTGATTCTGCTTTAGAGAATTTAGATTGATTTGTCCTTTTCTTCCTGTTGATTACTATGAATCATCTCCGTTGTTATTCTTCAATGACTTTGAACTGTGATTTTCATTCAGCAAATTTTATCTTGACCCTTTACTCTCGTCCTCATACTTAGACTTTGGTAATCTGTCAGTTAATAGTTTAAGATTCTTTGGGAGTTTGATAGTGTTAAGTAAAGACATATTTCCGCCAAGTCCATCATCTTGCTCTGTGACATAAAGTTGACTTGCGCTGTTTTCGCCTGCATTCAAATTTATTCCTAGTTTCTTAGCCCATCGAAGCACAACTTCTGATGAGAGTAACTAATCACAAGTTGGTCTCTAGGCTGAGTTGACATTAATGAGCTTTTTAATCATCTTATTTAAATCATCTGTGTAATGAAGCGGAATTTTAGGGTAATTGCCCTTAAGCACCTTTTTGAACAAGCCGTCCATATCATTAGCTGTAAAGGGGGGCTGTAGTGTAGCGATTTCATATAAAACACAACCCAAACTCCACAAATCACTCTTCTAGTCATAAGGTTTATCCTGCCACACTTCAGGACTTGCATAGTAAGGTGTACCAGTCTATGTGTAAAGTAGTCCTTTCTTGGCGACTTTAGAAACGTTTAGATCTCCCAGCTTAGCACAGCCGTCTTTGTTCAAGAACACATTGGCACTCTTCATATCTCTGTGAAAAATCTTCAATTAATGTAAAGCTTTCAATCCCTTGACCAAATGAATGAAAACCCTCCAAACATCATCCTCCTCAAAGTGAGTCTTATTCTTTTAGTGATCAACTATCTTTTAATACAGATCGCCATCATCTGCGTAATCCATTATAATGCACAGGAATTTCTCATCCTCGAGAAAAGCCTCTTTGTACCCGACTACATTGGGATGCTAGATTGAAGCAAGAATTCTGACTTCGTTCAAAGCGTTTTGTCTTTCCTTAACCGAAAGTGGATCCAAACTAACCTATAATCAGAAAATTCAATATTGATTCGATTTATCACTTATTTTTTCATTTAATTTTAATTAAGGATAATTTAACATGGTTTCTTACCTTTTTGAGTGCATATATTTGCTTATCTGATACTCTTTTGACCTTATAGACCTAAGAATAAGCTCCTTCACCTGAAACATTTATTGATATAGATTTGTAAGCGCTTACCAAGCTTATTGAGAATTTAGAATTCTTTAATATTGGACATTGATTGATTCTATTGAATTAAGTTTATTTTTATAACTTGAATTGCATAAATTGTATGAAAATTTGATTTTTAAAACTTCCTCTTATTTTTACTATTTCATCCTGTGGGGTTTTGGGGTTTTGGGGTTTTGGGGTTTTGGGGTTTTGGGG